GGTTGGCCGAGCTGTAAAGTATTCGCAAAGAAAGTACTAGTGGCAACTACTCTGCCAAATGCAACCCTACGAAACGGTAGAGAATTACCAGTGATAGCACTGCTTTAATATCCATAACGTTGGCAACCTTGGCTATCGAATCTGACAGCTCGGCCATTTTGACCGATTCCTGAAAGGAGAGCTGCAGCCTATTTTACCACGAAGGAATAAATCCGGAAAAATAAAGGACATTATTGGAGTTTACAATTTATATGTTTTTCAACAAGGAACCTAACTCCTTAAACACTAATCCAAACTCTTCAAGGTCAAAAATTCTTAATCTCGAGGGAAATTGTAAGTATCATCACCACATTTTATGCATAGGCGATTAGAACATCGAAACTTTTTCTTCGAGAGCAACCTTGATAAGAAATTGGGAATCTATTTCTGATTATTTTCAAGCATCATCGACCAAATTAATTAATTTTCTGCATTTACCATAAATATAAAAGATTTAAAAAAAAATCGTGTCTTAAGTCTTTCGTTTATTCATTCAGCTTTTATGAATATTTATAAATTAGGCACTCCGCACATTAAGCTCCTGATCATAGTAGTGTAATCGTTTCGGTATACTAAAGTATACACCTTTTATGCCGAACACATGTATTTCAATGAAGCTCTGTACATTACGATTCAAAATCATGTTTTCGCCTGATCATAAAAGCTTCATGAATCGAAGCGCCCAACATTGTAAGGCGCTTGCAGTTTTGAAATCATCATTTGTTTACTTTTTTGTGTTGGAATTAAAATTTATTTGTCAATTCAATAGAAAATAATTGAAAATGAATGATTTCGTTCTAAAATTTGTGCAAATTGTATTAAACCACAAGCGTTTATGCAATATTTCGGAGCAGAAATATTTGCGGAAGTGCGTAGTTGCGAAAGAACGGCCAGAAAATTTGTTATGTGTAGAAAGTGTTTATTAGCTGGTGACTTATGCACGGCGTGCAAGTATACAGAACTCGAGTCGTCATGCATTCGCTTCGGCATGACGAAACGATTACTCTACTTTGATTAGGAGCGTAATGTGCCGAGCAAAGTAAACAACGTAATAATTTTCCAAATGAAAGTAACTTGAGTGCGAATTTATCAATATCTATTAAATTGCCTAGTTTTTGGGAAGATTGTCCGGAAGCATGGATTCTCCTTGTGGAAGGACAATTCGAAATTAACAATATACATGATGATAATATCAAATTTTAAAATGTTTTAGTTCTTCAAAGAGAGTCAATTTCTAACATTATTGATGTTATCAATCCGCCTCCTTTGATTAACAAATATGAAACAATTAAGAAAGATTTATGTGAAAGATTTTCTCTTAGCGAAAAGAAGAGGTTAGAACAATTATTTTCAAATGCCGAACTAGGTGATCGTTCACCATCAGAACTTTATAGACATATGAAATCTTTAGTAGGTCCCAAATCCATAGTCAGAAAAGAACTTTTATATAAATTATTGAGTAGGAAGTTACTGTGATGACTGTATGTGTACGATTGCGACTTTCATCTCTAGGCGATTAATTTGAATAACGCTTAGTCTTGAACACGTTCTGTTTCAGCCATTATTAATAAAGATCTGGTCTTGTAAGCATCAGTTGGCACTAACGCTTTTTATTGAACCTACAACAACATGGTGTAGCCGGTAGTTTAATTCCAAGTACCCCTTTTGAGCATCGTTGGTTCGGGCATTAATATAGACTCCTGCCGAAAACCAGTGCAACAAGAGCGTGTATTGAAACCCAGGAGGGCTAAGCAATAAAAGCAAAGCGAGTTCCAAAAATCTGCTCGAACACGTGTTTGATGGAAAGTCGCAAGACAAAAAAAACAACAGGTGAAGACACGTGGAGTTACTGTTCCGACTATGATTCAAGAGAAGAAAAACCTGAAATAATGGAAACTTCGATGAAGACACCACCACCATTGACATTCGATGGCAACACAAAGGACAAATGGAAGAAATGGAAGCAGAAGCTCGACCTTAACATGAAAGCCCCGGGGCTGGACAAAAAAGAGGAAGACCGCACGTAATCGGGGAAGAGGCACTCGAAAAATATAACACCTTTGGACTAAGTGAGGCGGATGACAAGAAACTGAATGCATTGATTAAAGCATTTGAGGATTTCTGCTCCCCGAAAGCAAACGAGTGGCGCAACAAAGTGGTGAACATTTTACAAATTACTCAACAGACTTAAAAACGCTAAGTGCGTACGTACCGGAATGACTCGGGTTTTACCCGATCAAGGGCTGTGTTTTCGGCGATCTAACCGGGTTTAGGTCGCCGAAGTATCTCAGAAGTTGTTCGTCCATAGGTCTACATTTGCTAAGCATTCTTCTGCTCAGGGCTGGATCGAGTCAAACCCAGGGCCAGAAACCTACACCTGCTGTGTATGCCAAAGACGACTACACCACAACTCCACCTCAGTCAAGTGAAATGCTTGAGACGGGTGGAGTCACCTCAGAGTCTACTCAGGACTGCGGACGTATCGCCAGTGGACCACATCATTTGTGGCCCCCTGCTGCTCAAACAGAGAAGCCTCCACGGCTACCTCCAGTCCACCTGAGCAGCTCAACACAAACACCACAACACAATAGATCACTCCACAACCGCGACAGACCACACAACAGACACAACCACACCTGCACCCACACGCCGCCTTCAACAACTCTTGGTTCCTCCTACAATCTGCACGGTATGTCAGACCAGGATATTCCGTAACGTGACATCAGTCAAGTACAACACCTGCACTACGCGAGATTGGACGAGGAACTTCGAGGGCCCGTGTTGCGCCGCTCGGTCGCAAACTTTTTAATATTTACATTAACGACATAAATATGGCACTCAAGCACTGTAAGTTAAAACTGTTCGCTGCTGATACACTGTTAACGATCAGTGACAGAAACTTACAGACTGCGATGACTAAAATGCAAGAAGACTTGGATTCTTTGTACAAATGTTTGTGTTTAAATAAACTTAAGTTGAATGTAAAAAAGACACAGTTCATGATCCTCACTAGAGCAGTTAATCTTGGAACCACCAGTTACAATTTAAAAATCAAAGAGGAAGAAATTGAGGAAGTTAAACTCATTAAGTACCTGGGTATATATATAGATAATAAACTTAAATTTGATGAGCATGTTGAGCATACAGTGAACAAAGTTGCGAAAAAATTGGTCTTATGAAAAGATCTTGTAAGTATCTGAGAAGAAGGTATAAAACCCTGGTCTATAGATCTATAGTAGAACCACATTTTATATACTGCCCAACAATCTTCTTCTTAGCAAGCGACGCAAATATCGAGAAATTGCAAAAAATGCAAAATAGAGCTATGAGGTTCATATTAAATAAGCGTTACGATACACCTACACAGGAGATGATCACAGATATGAATTGGTTGAGTGTTAAGCAACAGGTTTTCTATCATGCTATGAAATTCGTATACAACATAAAGAACGGTAAACTTCCAGACTATCTGAGCGACAATCTTCGGTATATAAATGAAACTCATTCATATATACTCAGGGAAAACAATTGCTTTAGACTCCCACTTTATAGAACAGAGGTAGACAAAAAAAATATATTTTATAAAGGTTTAAAGTGTTTTAATGAGTTACCGCCACATGTAAAAGACTGTGATAACTTTGTTGCTTTTAAAAGACAACTATTTGATCACTGTAAAACTCTGGCTATTAGGTAGGAGAGCACGGAACGGAATGGAAACCAGGCCTTTCCATCCGACCAAGCAGCAAATGATCTAGCATACGAAAGCTTCCGACTATGCCCAACAGCCCGACCATAACGCGGAGCGGAAACTAGACCTTTCCGCCCGCCTCACATCACGGAATCCAGCGTCAGGGTTTGCATATTAATGACGACGGGAACATGGATCGGAGACTCGGCCTTTCCGACCGTGACTATCAACTCGTGAGCAACGCGGAGCGGAAACAAGGTCTTTCCGCCTGCTGCACATAGTACATATTTAAAGGTAGACTGGAGACTAGGCCTCGCCAGCTACCAAACTAGTTAGACAATATACATTTATATAGGTTATTTGATAGTTTTAGAAACATAAACAGCTTTGTAATTGAAAATTTAAACTTACATATACGCATACTTTGTTATATATTAAAAATACCTATCTGTACTTTTAAGTCGCAAGACTGTAACAAATAAATAAATAAAAAAATTGCGACGTCACCCACTACCACCACAGGACGGCAACCTCCACAGCAGCGCACACATCCAATGGCGGCAAAGCCACACACATCCCTCACACCCCGCATAACTACACGTCTCCCGAACCACATGAAGCTCCTTCAATTTAGTTAAATAAACGTAACGTAACGTATTTAGCTACAATTTAAAGTATTTTAGTTTTGGAAAAACTACTACTATCTGGAAAATCCTAACAAATAAATTTGAAAATTCGTGGAAAATAGTACCAAATTGTCACTTTAGGCCGTGTGGGTAACTTTTTGGATAGTTGCATTAAACAACTGTGTACGCCATTCGCTTTCGCGGCTTATTCTTCATGAGGTTGGATATTTTTTTTTCTTTCTTGTGTAAAATGAATGTGTTTTCATATAAGGATCTAAAGTTATAGCAAAACAGTCTTATAAATCGCGGTCCTCGGAGTAGCTCATTCAGTTTTTGCAATAATGAAATTGTTTTTCCATTTGGTTACGTCTTTAGCGTCCTATTTTCATACTCTGCTGCCGGAGGGAGGATCTGAAATACTTTAGCAAAATGTATGGAGAAAATAAGGCATCTAATGTACATAGCGACCCCTAACCGCCAAAATAACGTAAGCGACACTGTTTTAAAAATTTTCCTTTTGATGCAGAAATATTCCTAGAGCATCCAGACGCATTTCTGCATCAAAAAGAAAATTTTGAAAAAAATGTTTGGCGGTTAGGGTTCGATACAATTACTTTATATTTAAATATGTCATACAACTTTTAATTACCACAATTTTGATGTTCCTTCTTTTTCATCCACAGGTGGAAAGTGGTGGTGCGAGAGTGGCGCAAGTTTCAGCAAGAAATTTTAGTTTCGAGCATCTGATAGTTAAAAGTTGGCACTGTGAGAGAAATATGAAAAATATTCATACGAATAGTATATGCTGGATACACTAAAGAGGATACAAAATTAAGAAAGTTATAATCTATTGATCGTTCCATTAAAAGCTTCAGTATAAAGGGGTAAACATTGAATAAATTATATTGACTTTACCGTTATACTAAATAAAAAAAAATTTATGCCATTGGAAAATACTTACAACGTATTATATTATGCTAACGCCCAAAATCATAGAAATTACCACCATAAAACGACAATTAACCCAAACTTCAGCTACTTCTTGTGATCAACAAGTGCATATTAATATTGAAAGGGAAGTAACCAAATCCCCGTTATAGATTGCCGTTATCTGAGTACCTTCGGTACGTATACGGGTATATTTGACGCTGGTCGTTTAAAAGTTGTTACGTAGATAACAGAGAATAAGTAGTTTTACTGCAACCGAACTAACAACTCGTATTTAAGAAAAACGAAAAAGAGATTTTATTTGAAGCTAACGTCAAAAAGCAACACACCAATAATTATAGATACATATTTACATATATGTATATAGAAAGCATATAAAGATCGCCAAAACCAACATTACACTATTTTTTGCAACAATATCATGTCCGATCTTGGCAGTGGCGACGAAGGCATTTCTGGCTCAAGTAAGTTACATAATCAATAACACGTGCAGATTTAAACACATATAATTTAAAATATTCACTGCACTGTATCTTCAAATTACGCCAGCTCTTCGATTTTTTGATTTCTAGTATCAAGTCTTCCGTATGATAAATAATTTAATTTTCGTTAAGTCTTTTGTGTCTGTGCATTGCCTCTATGTATACACATACATATTTAGGGCGTGTGCGAATCGGTGACAAAGTTCTATGGGGAAAGCTGTTGAATAATACTTTTACTATGGTGAGACAGTTTTGCCAATCTGCTGTGTGAAATGAAATCTTTTTTGACAGCAGTAAATTTTTGATAGCCGCATATTTATGCGGAATAAAATATTACAAATTGAGGTGAAATTAATATTTTAAGAAAACATCTACCATCGTTGATTGCAACTCATCAATTTAAGCTTTTGTTTAACGAAAAATTACACATATCAACAATCTTTGCGATTGTGAAAATATCCTATGATTTTGTCGAAAATTTCACTAGCCTCATGAGCTACTGAAATTTTATTCACCTCATAGTAGTCAAAAATTTACTCGCGAACCTTGTTACCGATTCCAACACGCTCTCACACATACTATTATCCAAAGAGTCATGTAATTAAAAAAAACTTCTTTATAATTTTTGACGCTATAGAAAAGCGTTTCTAAAACTGTGGTAAGCGTTCTACTGGTAGTACCTACGCGATGCATTCAAAGGTGGTTTGTGGTGGTTTGTAAAATTCAACATGATCACATTTAGTCCATCGATAAGCAACATAGAGCCCCTAACTCAGCAGACTTTACTCGGGTTTCAGTAGGTGCACACATTGCTCATTTATTCAATATATTGCATAAAAGTGTATGTGAAATTTCACATTATGAAATTACTTTGTTGCATTTAGGATGTATTTAGAAAAACATGTATATGAAGTTCATTCTGAGCTTTTTACTAGAGCTAATAAAACTTGTTAACGACGATATGAGGCAGGAGAAAACATATTCTGCTGCCCTGAAACTAATGTCCCCAATTCTGAATGACAACTCTCGGGGATTTTTTTTTCTCTTTCTTCCAATTCTAAAAGGCAAATGTCGGGGATTTTTTTTCTCTTTTCCCTTTCCTCCTATTTCAAATAAACTTCTAAAATAGGAACTTGTTTCTCGCGTAAAAAGTAGTTATTACGAATGTAAAAAAAGGGAGATTGTTAAGATATTTCTCGAGAAATTTTCCGCCAAGAAATTTGAAGAGAGTCCTTATCAAAAATATAAGTAACTAAATTTTTGCTAAGCAAATTAATATTTTTTATTATTTTCTTTTATTGAAATGATTATTAATATCATTATTATTACACCCACGTCAAAAACAACAAATAAACAACACATTGAGCTGCTATTATTTTTCAAATGACTGTATATACATATGCACACTAATATCAAAACATCAGTCCGATTTACACTATGCATGGGGCAAATGTGTGTAAAAGTACTGCAGGTGGACAATATTTTACAAGAAATTTAAATTTTTTTTCTTGATTGAAATTCTTGGAAAAAGGTAGTATGTACAATAGGGTGGTCCAAAAAAAGTAAAGTCGAAAATTTAATGCTCTCACCCCCTAGGATTGTTCTATACCGAAAAAAAGTATACCCCTGTTTTTTTTTTTATTTTAAAATCAAAATATTTTTAGAGGTCGCTCAAAGCGCTTAAAGTTTCCCATGGCATAGAATCCATGAAAATCCAAATTTTTAAATTTGACAACTCTGCTTCTCTTCAGAAGACTTCAGAGAATAATGCCCAATTGTTTATTTAAACATTTTTTAGTTTTAACTATTTTTTAAGGGTCTCCGAAATATCCCCAAAAAAAATCAAATATACAAAAAGAAATATACAAAAGAAAAAAGAAAAATAGTTAAAACGAAAAAATGTTTAAATAAACAATTGGGCCGTATTCTCTGAAGTCCTCTGAAGAGAAGCGCAGTTTTCAGAATGAAAAATTTTGATTTTCATGGATTCTATGCTATTTCTACGAAAAGTATTTTTTTCCCCATACAAAATACATGGCAAACTTTGAGCGCTTTGAGCGACCTATAAATATATTTTGATTTTAAAATAAAAAAACAGGGGTATACTTTTTTTCGGTGTAGAACAATCCTAAATTCCGATTTTACTTGTCTCCCATACATTTTTGGACCACCCTAATGCACAATGTACATACTACATATCGTTAGAATAGTATGGAAAGGGCGTACCTCACATCGTCGCTGAAATAAAAAAAGCCTTAACTAACAAAAAATCCAAATCCAAATGAGATACGCCCTTTCCATACTATACTAACATTTATGTACTTTGTTAAGGACTGCAATTATTTTTTTTGTTCTTTTCATTCAAAAAGTTATTCATAATAAAAATGATTCTTATTGCTTTTACATTATAAAAACTGCGTTTTCATTTATTTATTTATTTCGCGCAGTGGCCAAATATTGAGTTGAGGCAAGGATATCACCTCGCTTTCTTCGGTGGTTGAACTATTTACGTCTTCCAAATCATCTTGAACAGGGTGCATTTTAAAATGGAGACGATATGTTATGTAATGCGCAACACATATTTATAATTTTAGCACTTTGAATGATCTGCATTGGATCTCATTTCAACAGAGCCTTCCTCCGGATTTCTGTGAAGAGTCAAAATCCACGGCTCCAAGGGATATATCCTTCGTCTCCTAGTAAAAAGCATTTATGTAGGGTTAAAATATTAATATTAAACAAAATTTTACCTAGCAGCCAATACTTATCTACACGCAAATATTAATGTTTTAGATGAGTTCGTCAGTCGCCGGCTATCAATCAAAGCGTTCAGACGTCGACTAGCATTTAGCAGTGTGTTAAACTCCCGCTAAACGTACAACTTTTGCTATCTTCATTGCCTTTCATTCTTGTCGTTGTGCATTGAATACACATGTGTGACCGCACATAGAAGTTAACATTGTAACCATGGCCCCGGGGTCTCCGGATAGGTCTCCGAATCGTTTTTCTGCTTTGTAAGATTTTCTGGATAGTCCTCGAAAAAGAAAAAAGAGACCCAAAGCAGGACGGTTTTCCGCAACCCCCGCAAAGATGTGTTTCACAACACAACCCGAAATTTATACGGATATCATCCGCAGACAAGAACAAATCTCTATCTCAATTAAGCCGATTCGCTATTAAAAAATGTATAGAATCTATCTCAACAGAAATAGATTCAATTTCCTAACTCCGCGACGGTAATGTACTTGTATTAACCCGCAACGAACGAATTGCCGAAAAGTTCCTAAAAGCTAAATCGTTTTCCAATCGTAGCGTGAAACTACACGAAAGCTTAAATTCGGTAAAAGCTGTTATATACTCACCCTGCTTAAAATACGTGGCGGAAGAGGAAATAATTAGTGAAATGAAGGATCAACACGTAACTGGTGTTTATATATTCACTCGTCAAGTGGATGGTTAATCTTTCCTCACCGGGCAAATGGTCCTAACTTTTGACCTTTATCGCCTTCCTGATTCCGTTGATGTAGCATTGTACAAAGTTAAGGTACAGCCTTATATCCCGACTCCAATGCGTTGTAAGAACTGCCAGAGGTTAGGCCATATACAGAAAAGATGCACTAGCAACTCCTCGTGCTACAACTGCAACCTTCCACCACACATCCCTGAGAAGTGTATCCGAACCCAGTGTGCTAACTGCGAAGAAGAACGCCCCTCTTCAGATAAAAGCTGCCCAAAATTTATTCAAGCCAGGGAAATTCTTAAAGTTAAAACCATAGAAAAATTTAGCATGAGCGAAGCACGGCGCAAGTTCAAAAACAACATACCACTTCTTCCACGTATTAGCTCTTACGCCAGCATTACAAAGAATACCACATCCACGAAAAATGTTGCGTTCACAAGCGCAAATAGTAAAAACCCTACTGAAATCATAGTCCCAGAAGATACTTCTGCATCACCAACCCAAAAAAAAAGACAATAATGATAAACTAAACAACAAACTTCCGGATAAATCAACCTTAACTAACAACAATTCAAATAATACCAGTACACCGTCAACAAATAATTCTACCACTAAACCAACCTCTACTAACTTTTATTCAAATGAAACACATTTGCTACTGCTTTTACCAGCAATATTCCGCCTCAACAAACTCCGATGCCGACCACTCAGCAAACCTGTGCTCCACCAATCACAGGAGACTCACTATCGAAAATGCTATCAGACTGTGTGACCTATGCGTTCTAAACGATGGTAGCCCGACTCACTTCTCAACTCACTGGGTAACTATACAAAGCAAGTTGACCTTGAAATGGAAGCTCATCCCCTATCAAACTCCCCAAACCAAGAAGCAGCTAATGTGGCGAAAGCGATCCGAGTAGCAGCAAATTGTTGCATTCCACAGGCATCCCACCGTCCACAAACCCATGTTCCCTGGTGGAATAAAATGCTTTCAAATCTGCGAAGAGAAAAAATGCAAGCTTGGTATAATTTCAAAAGTAACCCAACGCCATAAAATCTTATTAATGTGCTTCACAATAGCGAAAGGAAAAACACCTGGCTTCGACCGAATTTCTTACAAGATTTTAAAAGAAATGTCTCATCTTGGAAAATCTCGATTGATATGTATCTATAACACTATATTTGATACCGGTATAATACCACAAAACTGGAAAGTCGCCACTGTAGTTCCTATCCCTAAGGCAAATAAAATTCCCCTTTTCAACTGACGGACACCGTCCTATTTCTTTTCTCTCTTGCTTTCAAAAGTGCTAGAACGGATAATAGCAAATCGCATTGCATGGTTCACTGAGTCGCAGTTACTCATCAACTCTAACCAAGTAGTCTTCAGACCTAACAACGGCTGTCCAGACGCCCTCCTGCACATAGACTTCTATGTGACAAAAGCTCTCAGCCCGCAATCACGTCTCCATGCTATCACTAGATTTTGATAAAACATTTGACCGGATAGGACTCCATGTCA